GAGATAATTACAGTAGATATGCTGAATGGATACTAAGTTTCGGTCTACATATAATAAACCTATCTGCATGCCTTTTTTTAACTCGATAGACTGTAATTTGAGCCGTTTTTGGAGGCTTGATTACATCAAATGACAATGGATGCTTTAACTTACTGTGAAGACTTAGCTTATTATCGTTAAACTTTTATTATAAAGTTTCATTGCTTATCAATTATATGAGTATTTGAGTTTAGTGATATTTGAAGGAAATTATTTGTCACTAATTGCCAATATTTGTTGAAATAATCTATTTGTTTCAATAAACTGAATAAATTCTCTTATGCGATTTCCAAAACGTCATATTTTTGCAAATCAAAGGGAAATGGTTTTTGAGAACAGAAGCGTCTGCTTTTCGTCCATGAGAATTAGTCAAATTTTGTGCGGAATGTATTTATTCTATTATTCTCACAGTACTCCATTTTTTCAAGTTTCCTTAGCTTTGACGTTAAGTATTCTGAAAAGCCTTAACTTAAATGTCTCCTAGATTGAAAAAAATATCATGATGCTATCTAAATAGATTAAAGATATTGCTCATAAATACTTGGAGAAAGGTCGTAAAACATTTTTTTAACCTTGTATATACATATATCATTATTTAATAATTCTTATTTATTTAACATTTAAAATTACAAAACATTTTGGTTAGGCCTTTGCAACTGCTTGACGAGGTGCTCCAGGCTATGCCTCTCAACGATCTGAAGCCTACTCGTCACTTCTTTCCTTCATATAATCTGGGGGCAATTCCATCAACCTCTCTACCAACCACAGGCCACCAAGTCTCGGCTCCTGGCTTAGTTCCACTACCTCCAACGTCGCAGGGTTCGGTCCTCCATCCTACCATAGCCCCTCCATCGCATCCCGTTGGCCCTATTACTCCTGGCGCTCTCAATCATCATCACCACGCGCATCACTCACATCCACACCAACAGCAACAGCACCATATTACCCATCAAGTGCCCCACACACATCATCCAGACCAGTCACCATCTGCACAGCATCCATCTCATCTTCAGCACCCGACGCCCTCCATGCATCCTCATGACCACCGTCAACAACAGCCACCACCTCAGCAACAGCGGCATCAGTAACAGTAGCCATTGATACTTGTTAGTCCTGTAGCAATTGTGGCGCCAGCAATCTCCTGGTATACCCAAGTTTAATCGGCCCCCAAATCCCCCCAACTTCTCTACAATGTTTACCAATGCAATAGGCCACTTGAA